AATGCACAACCCTTGTTGGTTGCACCTGCAGGATGCACAATGAACCTAACGCGCCATAATTTTAATTCTATATTCGTGAAGAATGAGCCAACCGCATATGCTTAGTCAGTCCTGTTGGTCGGGACTCTGCTTTATAACTTATTAGTTTATTACAATAATCACACTTAGCTTTGCCATTGTTCTTCACATATAGCCACTCAACACATCTTGCGGTCCATCTTTAATGTTTAGATTATTGAAGGTGCTATTGACGTTTTGAGAAAAAAATTAATAGTACTGAAACTAAATTATTAAAAATAAACTTGCGGGACAAGGCAAGCACATATCTTAGCCGTTTGTTCACACTCTGCCTGTATTAACATAAATGCTGTATTTTAATATAGCTTATTTTGATTAATTAGCTTTAACTGACAGCCTTTTCTTCTTTTTCCGCGGTTATGCGGCATTATATTTCACACGCATATGCAAGGTGACTGAATATGAAAATAAAATACAAAACATACTGAGCCATTAAGTAAAAAAACAAAACAAAACAACAGTTATACTTTAAAGCAGAACATTGACGTTTTGAAACAAAAAAAACGGAACTGAAACTAAATTATTAAAAATAAACCTGCCAGACTTAATTTATGTAATATTTTCATTATTCATTTATTTTCATTATTCGTTTATTATTATGTACTATAATTGAAACATAAAATGAGATCGTAAATATAATCAACAACGAAAATGTAAATAAAAACGTAAATTAAAAATATAAATGAACATGTCTAGTCTTAGTTCTATCAAAATAGCAAACACTACATCTCTCTATATTTAGACTAAAAGACTGCTTTATTTATTTATTTATTTATTTATTTATTTAAGACTAATTATTTGTACTGAATGTTTGTGCTTTCATTTTAGTTGTCTTTCATTTCTTCAATTCTATTTTCCAAAACGAATCCTCTTTGCACTTAATAAGTTTACAATAAACCAGGTAAAAAAAAAATTAAATGTAAGTTGAGGTGATCGCAAGTTCACAACTGTGAGGTGATGTGCTCTATCGGCAGGATAATCTATATTATTTTGCTGTTTTTCATATGCGCACGTTTAAGATTTGAGATTATAACATTGCCATGATAGTCAAAGAAATCAAAACATTATTTTCACCCCAACGCAATTTAATCGGGCACTGAAGGCTAATAACTTAATTCTTATATTAGCTTTTTGACTTCTCACCATGTATCTTTTCTACAGCATAGTATAGTGTAAGAGCATGTCTATTACCAGAAAAACTAAATTAAAATTATATTTTAATTGAACACATCACATCACATACAGTAAGCTACGCCTACAGAACAGTCTGTTTAGCATTGTGAAAAGGCAAAGCTGAATATCTGTGGTTAAACTGCCACCCAGCGGTCAAATGCTGCTGGCGCATCAAGCACCGCCGTCGCCGCGGCATGAATGGCGGTACAAGGAACACATTGAAGTAGTAACATCTGTATATATATATATATATATATATATATATATATATATATATATATATATATATATATATATATATATATATATATATAGTAAATTTTTGGGTGATTTATTTAACTTTTTACAAATAAATATATTAAATAAATAAATATTTTACAAAATATATTTGTTTATTTGCAAGTTATGGGTCTATAAAAAGTTGTTATATATATATATGTATATATATATATATATATATATATATATATATATATATATATATATATATATATATAAAAATAAAAGTCAGAATTATTAGCCTCTGTTTTAATAAGTAATTTATTTTATCTTTGCCACGATGACAGTAAATAATATTTGACTAGATATTTTTCAAGACACTTTCATACTATGGAAGATAAATCCTGCCAATCAGCTCAGTAAAGTTGGTTTTAGGTTTGGTATCCGCCAGACATTCATGCAACGCAGCTGATTTAGCTGTCTTTCAAAGATTTTAGTACTAACAAGTTGTTAACGTCACAAGACCGAATACAGTAAACTATACGACTTCATCACAAGGCCTACTGCACTTAAGCTGCAGTTTCTCTGCCCACCGAGGAAGTCTGCGACTCCTGCTGCGGGACGGAAGTTTGACGTTTGGTTCTCCTGTGTCTCCTGTTCCTCTTGCTGTACCAATGAAGCAGCTGCTTCACGTAAAAGCTAACAATTTTAACCATTTTACTTCTGTTATACTGTATTTACACTAGTAACTCACGCTGTTCCATCCATCAAAACCGTGCTTCTGCCCTCGGGCTCTGTGTGTGAAAGCACTCGATGTCACTTGAATACGCCCCTCCCACTGATTAGCATAGTCTTTGCATACAGCTTTAAGTTGAAAATGAAATCGAAAATGAAAACTGAAATGAAAAAGTGTCAATAAAAGGAAAGCTTAAATTTCCGTTTTCATTTGAATTGTGTCACTATTATAGCGTGAACATTAATACCACGCTTTGTAAAAATTGTGTTTGCATTTTATTTTTCAGTTTGGCTTTTTATTTTAATATTGGCAGTCTTGACGTGGAAATGCTGTGAAAATGAAATGTTGTGTGAATGTGAATGTGACAGTGACAATGTGTTGTCAAAGTGGAAATGAAAATGAAAAATAAATAATTTCATTTCGTTTTCAATTTTGGCAGATATTTTGCGAACAGTTTTTTAAAACGAAATTGTTAATCTGATTTTCATTTTCATTTCCAATGTTTATTTGATTTATTTAAAATTGGCAGGATTTACCTTCCATACTATACAACTGAAAGTGACATTTAAAGACTTAACTTGGTTAATTAGGTTAACTAGGCAGGTTAGGGTAATTAGGAGAGCCATTGTATAACTATGGTTTGTTCTGTAGACTATCGAAAAAAATATATAGCTTAAAGGGGCTAATAATTTGAAACTTTTAAATGCTTTTATTCTATTCAAAATAAATGAGTAATTAAGTAATTAATTGAGCAGTAAATAATTAATGCTTAATTACTGTAAGCAGTAATTTTTGATTACCTTTAAGGACCACCGAGTCATGAAATGACTTTTTTTTTTTTCCGTTCACCATGCGGTATCAAATTCCATTAAAACAAAAGTTGAAAGTTAAAAATGAAACACCCGAAATCCCATGAAACTCTGGAGGAAACGCTGGAGAGCCTGCTGATGCGACATTAATTGTTTTATACAGAAACTTGCCTTCAAAAATTGCTTCCATATTTCTTTGCATGTTGAACACACATCGACCACAACAGGAAATAAAAAAAAAACTGCAACTGCGTTAATTGTGTGTGTGTGTTTTTTTTACGTGTTAAATATTTCAAATTAATCGCATGCGTTAAAGCACTAATTTTGACAGCACTAGTTTTAACAAATAAAAATATTTATTTTCTTAAGGCTAAAGCCTGTTTCACAACGCAAGCGTAAGCGGCACGTGAGCAGAGCGTGAGCAGCGCTTGTTTTTTCAGCGTCCATGTAAACAGATTATAGCTTTCATACCGCGCACAGAAGCAGTGCGTCAGTGCGAGGCGTTAGTGTCGCTGAAACAGCAGTACAGTGATAGTTTCGGCGCTGGGTCTATTTTTGCCCCTCTGCTCACGCTCAATTAAAGTGACAGTGCATTGATAATGACCAAAACACATAGAGTGACCTAATAAATGCATTAATAATATCAACTGATTTATATATAGTCAATCAAATGAACTTAAATGATTAAAAACTGCAACAAGTATTTAGGCCAGAACTAAAAAAACAAATGTAAAACAACTTTAGTATCTGTTTTGCTTAAGTTGCACACTAGTGTTGCAGGAAAGGGAAAAGACTTTAAGACTGCTATTTACGGGAGTTGTAGTCTATAGTGAAGTGTATTGTGGGTCGTGTAGTTCGACACGCACGCTGGATGATGTGAGCTCGCTGTGTGCTGTGCAGTTGAAGCAGAGGAAAAAAGTTTTATTCGGCTTTGTTTTATGTTCACTCTAGTTATTCCTACCGGGAGCTGTTTGCACTGTGAACCTGACAACACGAAAATAAGTAAAAGAAGGGCCTGCATTGATTACTTTTGTCCGTCTCATTCTTTGCACGAGCTGATACTCTTACTGACATTACTGAAGCAGAGAAAGTAACACTAATTTGATCATGTATAAATATCACCAGATCTATATTGTATAAATATTATTATAACTAGGCCTACAACAACCTGACAATCAAAAACCAAATAACATGATATGACAGGCGATTGTCTTCTGAGTGCACTAGACATGACTGACACTCTTCATAGAGCTTGAGAAGCATACAGAACTGTATGATCTATATAATTTGTAAAATAAAGAACAGCAGGTTAAAGAAACTGCATAGGAGGTTGCCGTGGGCCTTGATGCAGATGACAAGCTTTTAAAAAAAGGGAATTTGTACATATAGAGACATAAATCTCTCTATAACTAAATAGAATAGACAGAGATAGATTGATCTCTGCAGCAACTGCCGAAGAGCTGCGCGCTGCAGATGCAGCTGGTGTGAAAGGTAAACGCCTGTGTGTTGCTTCTGCTCTCCAGACGCGCTGCTCACGCTTGCGGTGTGAAACAGGCGTTACACGCATTTAACCTTCATTGGACTAATAGATGGACCCTTACAATAATTATAACGTAAATTGTCTGCGCCGGTAGCCTAGTGGTACTGCGCGCTGACATATAGCACAAGTGTGCTTGTGGCGACCCGAGTTCGATTCCCGTCTCGGGGTCCTTTGCTGATCCTTTCCCTCTCTCTGCTCCCAATGCTTTCCTGTCTGAATTCTCTACTGTCCTATCAAAATAAAGGCGAAACCCCCCCCCCCCCCCAAAAAAAATATTATAACGTAAATTACAAAAATAAATAAATAAATTGATAAATAAATGAATGATGATGATAATAATAATAATAACTATTATTAAATGCTTACTTTAATCTTAATCTCTTTCCAAAAACATAAATCAATCAAAGAAAAGTTTTTAGCATGACAACGGTGCATTCAAACTTACAGCCAATTTAACCGTGGCATCTCCAGGCAGATATCATCCAGTTTTGTGAGAGCATTGTTCAACAGCACTCTGAAACACACACACACACACATGCACACACAAGTGCGCACACAGCTTTAGAAGACAAAATAGTGCAGCACATTCAACACCATAAAAAAAGTCTACAAAAGCTCTCGGAGAACGGCTCCTATGCATTTATTAAAATGTAGGATTTACATTTGAAAGGCGGAAGATGAGCCACCAAAATAGCAACAGCTGAAACTCACAGCAGCACAAGAGAGCGAAGACCCGAGAAGGTCAAAGAGGAGATGTGATGAAGGCTGTTGTTCTCCAGAATCCTTCAGGAAAATGACAAGAGAAATATAAACACTGTGGCCTTGATAATTCAACTGTTCTGATCAATATTTGTTGTGGGGGAACTAATTGATGCATTGGGTTATGAAACAATGATTCAATCAGAATTAGTTCAGTAACTTCAGATCCTGCATGTAGAAATCAGCTGATATCACATTAAAAAGCTATCAGTTTATATACGCACTAATCTGATGAGCTCTCTGATGTGAAGCACAAAAGCAGCGAATGAGAAAATCTATCTGTATTGAGCTGATGTTTAGAAAAGCAGATGAGATAAGGACACTTACAGCCACTCTAGTTTGTGTAAATCCTGGAAAACATCAGGGAGAAGAGTTGTGATCCGATTGTAGCTGAGATACCTGCGGAAATGATAGATTATAGCTGTTTGAGAGCAGCCCTAATGTATATACTTATTTGCTGTTAAATTTACAGTAATTTACTAGCAATTTTGGTTGCCTGTAAGACTGTAAATTTACAAGTACACTGTAAATAAATAGTTACAATCGTGCTGTATTTTACAATATAATTGTAAGTATTAATTTACAAAGCATTTGCAAATTAACAGTCTTACAGGCAATTAAAATCGCCAATAAGTTACAGTAAATTTTATAATAAATTGCAATTATATATGTACAGTTTGCTTGTAAAGTTACAGTCTTAATGGCTACCAAAAATTAACCAAAATTGGTAGTAATTTACTGTAAATTTAACAGTAATTCGCAATTAATAATTCACAGTCAGTTTGGTTATAAATTTACATTCTTGCTGGCAACCAAAATTGCCAGTAAGTTACTGTAAATTTAATAATAAATTGTACAAATAAAATTGTAAAAATAAATTAAATTGCAGTTTGCTTGTGAAGTTACAGTCTTACTGACAACCACAATTGCTAGTAAGTAACTGTAAAATTTACATTACACTTGTAAATTTACATGCTTAGTGGCAACAAGCAAAATTGACAAAGTTACTAAAATTCTGTCAGTAAATTGTAATTATAAATTTGCAGTCAATTTGCTTGTAAATTTACATTTTTTGCTGGCAACCAAAATTGTCGGTAAGTTACAGTTACTTTACAGGGAACTGTAATAATTAATTTTTACAATCTTACTGACAACCAAAATTCCCAGTAACTTACTGTAAATTTAATAGTATCTTCTAATTGTAAATTTACAGTTTGCTTGTTAATTTACCGTATAACTGGCAACCAAAATTGCTGAAAAGTTACTGTAAATTTTTAAGTAAATTATAATTATTATTTTACAATTTGCTTTTAAATTTAGTCTTACTGGCAACCAAAATTACCAGTAAATTACTGTAAATTTGACAGTAAATGGAAATTATTAATTTATAGTTTGCTTGTAAAGTTACAGTCTAACTGGCAATTTTTTTAAAATACAGCACAATTGTAATTATTATTAACAGTGCATTGGTAAATTGACAGTTTTACAGGCAACCAAAATTGCCAGTGAGTTACTGTAAATTTTACAGTAAATTGTAATTATTAATTAACACTCAGTTTGCTTGAAAATTTACAGTCTTTCTGGCAATCAAAATTGCAAGTTTCTGTAAATTTTACAGTAAATTTTAATGATTAATTTACAGTTTGCTTGTAAATTTACAGTGTTAATGGCAATTAAAATTGCAAGTTGCTGTAAAATTGACAGTAAATTGTAATGATTAATTTACAGTTTGCTTGTAAGGTTACAGTCTTAACTGGCATCCAACAGTGCCAGTAAATTACTGTAAATTTCACAGTAAACTGTAATTCATTTTAACAATCTTACTGGCAACCAAAATAGGCAGTAAGTTACTATAAATTTAATAGTAAATTGTAATCATACATGTACAGTTTGCTTGTAAATTTAGTCTTACGGGCACTCAATATTGCTGGTAAGTTACTGTAAATTTTACATTACACTTGTAATTATCAATTTACGGTTTGCTTGTAAATGTACAGGGTTACTGGCAACCAACATTGGCATTAATTTACTGTAATTCTGACAGTAAATTGCAATTTTTAATTTACAGTCAGTTTGCTTTAAAGTTAGTCTTACTAGCATTTTTTAAAAATACAGCACCATTATAGTTGTTTATTATACACTATTTACCAAATTGTCAGTAAGTTACTGTAAATTTTACAGTAAATTGTAATTATTAATTTATAGTTTGCTTGTAAAGTTAGTATTAACTGGCATTAAACATTTCCAGTATGTTACTGTAAATTTTACAGTGAATTGTAATTATAAAATTACAGTCAGATTGTTTTTAAATTCACTGGTTTGCTGGCAACCAAAATTGCCACTAAATTACTGTATAATTTAAAGTTAATTACAACTAATAATTTACAGTTTGCTTGTAAAGTTACAGTCTAACTGGCAAATTTTTAAAAATACAGCACAATTGTAATTATTATTAACAGTGCACTTGCAACTAAAATTGCGAGTAAGTTGCTGTAAATTTTACAGTGAATTGTAAATATCAATTTAACAAGTCAGTTTGCTTTTGTATTTACTGTCTTGCTGGAACCTGAAATTGCCAGTAAATCACTGTAAACTTTACAGTAAATTTTAATTATTAATTTACAAATTGCTTGTAGAGTTACAGTCTTATTGGGAACCAAAGTTGCCAGTAAGTTACTGGAAATCTGACACTAAATTATAATTATTAATTTAAAGATTGCTTAAAAAAGTTTCAGTCGTATTGGCAACCAACATTGCCAGAAAGCAACTGTCATTTTTTACAGTAAATTTGAGCAAAAAGTGTAATTTTACTGTATATAAAGGACAACCTAAATGTCTGCAGACTTATAAAACTCACAGTCTGGTCAGATTGTAAAGGCCTCTGAATGCCTGCGGGTGAACTGATTTAATGCGGTTGTGCTGGAGGTACCTGAAACACAGATCACAGAAAGCATTGAGACGCAGTAGAGGAGAGAGGAAACCAACACTTGACAAGCACCAAGTGTGTGTAAAAAATATAAAATAAAAAATTTATATATAACAATATGATAATACATTGTTTTGTAATTTTATTGTAGTTAGCAAAATATTAATACAATTAAAATTAAATGAAAAATGTATTGTATAAATAAAACTAGATACTTATTAATATTATTATTATTATTATTATTGCTACTAAATGATACAAATATAAATATATATATATATTGTTTATAATATTAATTATTTAATAGGATATGCTTTTAATGTAATGTTGGTATTAGATTAAAAAAACAACAATTACTAGTATTTTAAAATAGTTTTTTAGCCAATTTGGCATTGTTTATAATCCTTAAATGACAAAGCACTAAACACTACGCAGAACACCTTATGCCTAGTTCAGACTGCTTGATTTTAGCCCCGATTTTGGCTCGCCGACAGGTTTTGAGAAATCGCAGACAAATGCCTGAAATCACAGGCAAATCGCTGCTCGTGCACGTGAGTGACAATCACACAGTATGAACGATCAAAGACGCGATCTGAGAGAATCACCGATGAGTCGCCGATGCCTGCGAGATATTTGGCGTGCTAAATATCTGGAGCTGTCGGCGATTCAAATCATGCGTGTGAATTGAGTTTTGACTGAAAATAACATCAGCGATCGCCTTCAGCCAATGAGAGAGCAGCATTCACTTGTGTGTGCGTGTGTGTATACCTGCTGCAGGCCAGTGGGAGGCTGGGGGAGAAGTTAACAGCGCTCTTTTTCGGTTTATTTGGACCCACGAAATGGAGGAAAAACTAGTGGAGGTTTGACAGGACTCAGGAGCAGCCGTGTCTGTTTGACGTTTCATACAGAAAGAAATTAGTTTATTATCAACGTTGAGGAGAAATGGCTAATTCCCTTTAAACCCAGGTGAGCAAACATGTACATGTTCTACCCCATTAAAGGCTTCTTTCTCATTATGTAGGTAATAACAAAAGATATACGACGTGTTTTTGGCTGTGAGACGTAGTTTGGACGAAGTTGTCGGCGATTCTTCCTATAGTAAAGTCATGCAATGTGAATGTCCATGTCGCCGAACCATCTTGCAATGTAAACAAAGCAGCGACGAAAAGCAAGCCCAGAAAGTCAAGCAGTGTGAAAACATCTGTGACACGACTAGTTTGAAAATCCTGCAGTCTGAACTCGGCATTAGCAAGCACACGCAAACACTTTTACATAAACATCTAAACAATGCTGAAATCCACCTGAAAAACTTTGAGTACTCATTCTCAACTCATCTAAACTGTTTCTCTGCTAACATCAGCTTTTCTCTATTTATATACCCAGATCCAACGACTCAATGACTAAAACCTCAAAATGTCTGAAGCTTAAACTAGTTTGAGCTCCACAAAGGCTGCATGGTGGTTTCTATATTCCCACATGGTTTTATCTTCTGCTACTGCTGAGATTAAGTTGATTCGCGTAATAAAGACTCCATCTGTCACCAGATCAAATACAGTGTTTGGACAAGGACAGAAATATGAGTCTGATTCTGTTTGAGGCAGCTGGCAGCTCTGAATAAAACACCAGCAGATCAGACTGACACAAGCAAACACACTCGAAAAAAACAACAACTGATAGCTGTAGAAAGAAAAGTTCTGTCAGGTTTACAGCTTTTCTCAATAGCCAAGACATGATTAAAGTTGGCCAGAAACGGAAGTTAAAACTGTCCTTTTTTCAACTATCATGACATACATCCACCTGAAATGGTCTTGAAATGAGAAAAAATGTAGGGTTTTGCATGATTCAGTTCTTTGGGAACCAATTGGATTGTTTGAAGGTGGGTGTTGCTAACAAAATAAAAGATAATTAATGAATAGATGAATTTAGAGCAGAAACAAGACACAGTGTGTTCCTGCCCTAAAGGTCCGATAGTCCTGCTCCTAAGCACCGATGGCTCCACCCTAAAGCACTTATAGTCCCACCCTGAAGCAATGATAGTCCCGCCCTAAAGCACTGGTAGCTCCGCCCTAAAGCACTAATAGCCCTGCCCTAAAACACTGATAGTCCTGCCCTATAAACTAATAGCGCCACCCTAAAGCACTGATGGCCCCGCCCTAAAGCACTGATAGCTCCGACCTAAAGCACTGCTAGTCCTGCCCTAAAGCACTGGTAGTCCACCCCAACGCACTGCTAGTCCTGCCCTAAATGATTAAAATACCTGCCATAAAGCACTGATAATCCTGCCCTAAAGCACTGATAGCCCCATCCTAAAGCACTGATAGTCCCACCCTAAAGCACTGATGGCCCGCCAATAGCACTGATAGCTCTACATTAAGACACTTATAGCCCAACCCTAATACATTGATAGCTCTGCCCTAAAGCACTGATAGCCCTACCCTAAAGCACTGATCTAAACACTGATAGCCCCGCCCTAAAACACTAATAGCCCTGCCCTAAAAACTGATAGCCTCGCCCTAAAGCACTGATAGCCCCGTCCTAAAGCACTGATAGTGCCACCCTAAAGCACTGATAGTCCTGCCCTAAATGACTGACAACCCCGCCCTAAAGTACTTAGTCCCACCCTAAATGACTGATAGCCCTGCCATAAAGCACCGATAGTCTCGTCCTAAAGCACTGTTAGTCCTGCCTCAAAGCACTGTTAGTCCTGCCCTTAATGACTGAAATTCCCACCCTAAAGCTGCGGTCACACTAGAATTTGTGTGTGCAACATTCTGTCGTACGGCGCTGCGAAAGGGGCGGGATTAAACAAGATTATTACGTATTAAAAAAGCGAGCGATTGCACCATGTTTTAAATTTCTGTCCAGAGAGGTCATGTTTTGATCCTCGATTTGTCTCACGCAGTCAATTGATGCGATTTTGCAGGTCAGAGTTCACCAAGCTTAAACTTTGCACTGCAGCGAACTGCGAAACTTAACGCATGACCCTGCATTTCCGGTTTGACATATTCTCGTGCATATGAATGGAAGTCTATGGGGAAAAAAGTCAAGTGTGACCACAGCTTAAAGCACTGATAATCCCGCACTAAATGACTGATAGCCCCACCCTAAAGCACTTAGTTCCACCCTAAATGACTGATAGTCCTGCCCTAAAGCACTGATAGCCCTGACCAAAGCACTGATAGTCCTGCCTTAAATGACTGATAGCCCCACCTTAAAGCACTTAGTTCCACCCAAAATGACTGATAGCCCCGCCTTAAAGCACTAACAGCTCCTCCCTAAATGCATTCCATGTAACCATGTAGAAGCAAAGAATAGTTGTTTCGAGTGGTGAGAGACGGTTATATTAAGTTTATGAGGGCCAATAACTTTTTATAAAATAATGAAGACACATTGTTTATGACAGGAACGAATATATACATATAAAAAAAGAGTAAATTAATATTTCATGGCAACTTTAATGAAACCCGGATTCACTTGATCTTCATCATCACATTCCAGCACAGCAGAAACTTTTTCAAATGCAAACACTTTTTCATTTCTTCACACATTTCTCACACACCTTTTAACAAAGCAGTCACATACTGTAGATCTGACTGAAGGAGGACAATCTATATTTGATTCACTGTGTTGACTAAAAGGAAGATTACTTGCCTAATTATGAATATCTAATAACTCTTTAATCAGCAATCAGTCCTCATTCATCTATATATGTGTGTGTGTGTGTGTGTGTGTGTGAGCCTGAGTGAGTGTGGGCATAGGTGTGTTTGAGTATATACGTATGTGTGTATGCATGCATATTTATTTACATATTTATTATTGTGTGTGCATGTGTGAGCATGAGTGAGTGTGATTATATGTGCATGTGAGTGTGTGCATGAGTGTATGCATGCATATTTATTTATATATGTGCTTATTTTGTGGATACGTGTGTGTGTGAACATGAGTGAGTCTAAGTGAGCTTGAGCATGTGTGTGTGTGTGTATGCATATTTTTTAAATATATATTTATTGTGTGTATGCCTGTGTGAACATAAGTGAGTCTAAGTAAGCTTGAGCAAGTGTGTGTGCGTGTGTGTGTGTGTATGCATATTAATTTAAATATTTATTTATTGTGTGTGTGTGTGCGTGCAGTGTGAACATGAGTGAGTCTAGGTGAGCTTGTGTGTATGCAAGCATATTTTTTTACATTTTTGTACTTCTTTATTTATAAAGGGACTAGGCTGAAAAGAAAATGAATGAATGAATGAATGATGACAGTAAATAATGTTTGACTAGATATTTTTCAAGACACTTCTATAGAGCTTAAACTGACATTTAAAGGCTTAACTGGGGTAATTAGGTTCACTAGGCAGGTTAGGGTCATTAGGCAAGTTATTGTATAATGATGGTTTGTTCTGTAGACTTTAAAAAAGCTTAAAGGGGCTACTAATTTTGTCCTTAAAATTGTGTTTAAACTATTAAAAAACTGCTTTTATTCTAGCCGAAATAAAACAAATAAGACTTTCTCTACAAGAAAAAATATTATCAGACATACTGAGAAAATTTCCTTGCTCTGTTAAACATCCTTTAGGAAATATTAAAAAAAAAAAGAAAAATTCCAAGGGCGTCTAATAATTCTGACTTCAACTGTATATATATATATATATATATATATATATATATATATATATATATATATATATATATTGGTGGCCCGTTATCAGCGTTGACGTGCAGCGTTAAAGCAAGACTCTTTATCACGTGATAAAAAAATATCGCCATTAATTTATTCTCAAAGTTGGGTTGGGAGCTGGATCTATTCAAATCAGCAGGATGTCCTTCAGGATCATTGACTTACTTAAAAGAAACTACTGACTACGCTTACATGGACATCAGTAATCTAGTTATTTGCCTTAATAGACAATAATATAATTAAGGTGTTTACGTGAAGTGCTTTCATGTAAGAGTTTCCTGTAATCTGGGGTGACTTTAACAGTTCAGAAGTTTCACTTTCACTCATGAACATTTCATTCATGGCGCCGTGACAAACTGGGGTATTAGACCCAAATAAGGCGTAGGGACTGGAGAGAGTGTTATGAAATTTAATAACGCACGGCGAATGGAATGAAAAAGATGTGTGTGTGTTTGCGGTCCTTTACTGACAGCCGCATGTGTGGATCTTGTCGGAAACTATGGCAAAAAGTCCAACATGACGATAATAGCTTGATCGCTGTGTTTACTTCAATAATGACACTAATATTTGCAGACCTCACATATCTTAATTGCATTTCTGTGTAGTTCAGTTCTGACCTTAGTCGGATTAAGGTGATCAAAAATCCCTTTTTGGAGCTCATGTAGGCCTACAGTTCAAAATTCACATTTAACTGAATGAACAAACAATTAGTAAACACAAGTACATCTTATTGAACATCATTTATTTTAATCACCAATTATCATAGTAGAACAGTTTCACGAAAAGTTTGGGCTCTATCATACACCCGGCGCAATGCGGTGCAAGGTGCGATGCAATTGTTGTTTGCTAGTTTCAGCTTGGCGCAAGAGTCATTTTGACGTTTTGCGCCACGCTGTTTAAATTGCAGATGCATTTGCGCCCATAGGCATTCTGGTCTAAAAAAGCAGGCGTGTTTTTGCGTGTTGCTATTTTGAGGAACTATAATAGATTGTTCAATAGACCAAAACAAAGCCGGTCTAAATTCCAGCACAAAGCGTGTTAGTTGTGCGCCTCGCTTAAATATTGCTTAATACACATAGGATGTACAGCAATAAGCAACTATCTTTACATATGAAAAAGAATTAAAATATCAAGGATATATATATATAGGATATAATAAGGATATATAGCCTATAGTGTATAAATATAAAGGATTAAAATATTACAAAACATTATTTTCTAGCCTACATAAATATAAAAACCATACTTTCATGACTTCTTTATCTCGGGAGGCTTTTTCAGTTCATTCATAACAATTTGCTTTTGTATAATGTTATTATTATTAGCATTATTATTTATTATATCCATATTTATATTTGTTTTATTAAAAACAAGCTTAGATTTGTCCACCTGTCAGGTTTTAGATCATATGGGGCACAGCATGTGTATTTGGATGTAACTCAGGTATTTGAACACACTTTGTTATTATTGTTCATTTATTAGTTTGCTGGAAATTAAAACTGAATGTAGAAATAGTTTTGAAACAAATCTTTGCCCTTAACAAACGAAATTAATTATTTATAGGCTAATGGATATCTGTGCGTACAAGAAGTTTCCCTATCCACGAGAGTGAAAGTGAAAGTAAATAATGAGGAGGCTCATCTGTCATTCTCGCATTGCAGATGCTCTGTTTAACTGTTTTCTTGCTAGAGAAACACTCAGTTTTTCCACTTACAAAGTCTGTTATGTAAATAGCAACTGTCTCTTAAAGGGAATGAGAGATGAGATTTTGATTGGTTTATTCTCAAAACACACCTATAACTCATTAAGAAAATAAGCTCAACCCTTTGACACCATGTGCCACAGCGCAAAGTGGATTTTTCCATCCTTAAAATATCAAAAGTGGATACCGACACGCACTTATTGCCTTTGCGCTCTGCGCTTTGCGCATGGATCATCAAAATAGGGCCCTTTGTGATGCATTTTGGAAACAGGAGATGAGCCCCTGGTCTAATGCGCCACCTGGCTTGGAAAACCCATCCTCAAAGACATTAGCCATTTAAATCTAGATTAATCTACATTAATTCAAAGATTACAGTGAGATTAATTTAGATTAAAAAAAATTATCTATGCCCACCTATAATATATGCTCCCAAAGTTGATTGATTAAATAGATAACGCAAATTGTATTGCAACTAGAGGACATTTACCAGTTTAGCAGACACTACAAACAATGTTAACATCAGATATTTAAGGTGTAAACATGTGCGTACACAAATGTTTGATAATTCAATAAACAGTTTTAAATGTGATGCTTACACGATGAAAAATGATTGAGAAGTTGTGAAGAGTTTGACTGTTTAAATGAGAATCGACTCATCAGTTTTGATCGAAAAGCCATATGCATTTAGTTTTTGTCCAAACTACAGTAATTTGTACTTAACTTAAATAAAAAGAAACACCACTCTGAAGTGAATAATAAGATAATTGTTCAGAGATTTAAACTTATTATTTTAAAAAATAAAAAAAGTGAATTGAGAATTGAGGCAAAGCAATTGAGACAATCTGTAATTTGACAGCAAGTTGTGGCGTTGAGATTCAAACATCTGCTTGTGTTGCACGGTTGTGATGTCTTGTGAATGTTGGAGCATTTTAAAGTAAAATATTCATGATATTTAAGTGGACAAATTGAGCAATTGTAAAAAAATACTTTGAAAAAAAAAAAAAGAGTCATCTTATGTTCTTCCAATGCTCTTCAGTTCAGCTCCTGTGGAAAACACTGAATAATTTATTCTACAGGGATTGTTTAATCTGTTTCACACACTTCTCACAAGTGAGCCGGGTTTTGATATACACCTGTGATGATGCCAGTATGGCTTTCACAGATTTACAGCAGTCCAGTGACAAGCAGGAGACAGACTTAGTGAAGCAGAAAGGATCTTACAGCTTTTGAAGGCTCTGGTACTTCAAGAACATGTCAGCGTTTAGTTTCCTCAGCCCGTTCCTCTGCAGGGACCTACAACATGAGCAAGAGAGACATTATAAAAATGTTTGTTGAGCACAGCAGTGACCACACACACTTCTAGAGAATTTGTTTATGCTATTTTCCCTCTTTATAAACATTTCAGATGGATGTGACAGGATAGATGGATGAACGAACTGAACCATAAAGAGACAGAGAAAGAGAAAGAAATTGACAGATGGATGATTAAAACAGGAAAGGATGGATGGAGAAATTAATAGATTAAACTATATCCCCTTTCACACAGTGATAAAAGTCTGAAAAACTTCCAGAACGACTTTACCGGTAAATTAAAAAAGCGCTGTTCACACAGACGAGGACGTTATGGATTTTTTTTCCAGAAAAAAAGCATTCACACACATCAATTCCAAAATACCGGTAAATTCTGACATCATTAACCAGAAATGACCTTTAAACGGCTGCGCTTGTATTTGTAAACATTTGACTACATTACAAACTGGATGGATCAGTATTGTAAATAACTTTGATGAAAACATATAGAGAAACACCTTCACATGTCGAGATGTACATGATATGTGTGTGTGTTGGCGTTCATGGGCTGTTTCACGGGCAAACCCAAAGCTTGAAGGTAAACAAACAACGGCTTATCATAAGCATCTTATTGATAATCATTTACACAGTTGACATTAAGATGAACATATAAACGTTATCTGACTAACATCCAGCAGCTAAATGTGTCTGGAGAAAATATTTAAAGGCGTGGACGTGCATGCGTTTAACTGTTTTGATTGGCTAAAGCAGACGTCTCACGTCAGCAAGTTCTAGATGTGCACGCTCTCTTTCCGGCAATCTTCCTTCTGCGTTCACACAGCGCAGCATTGCGGCAAATTACCGGTAATGTTACAACTTTTCTTTCCGGAAAATAACCAGAACGAATTTACGGGTATTTTTTAAAATAGGCCTGTTCACACATACACACCTTTCCGGAAAATTGCCGGTAATTTTAAGGAAAGATCTGCTTGAGTGAAAGGGGCTAGTGATACCGGTAAATGTCTGGGAAATTTCCAGAACGACTTTACCGGTAAATTAAAAAAAGCACTGTTCACACAGGCGAAGACGTTACGGGATTTTTCTGGAAAAAAAAGAAATGACCTCTAAACGGCTGTGCTTGTAATTATAAACATTTAACTACATTACAAACTCTGTGGATGGATCAGTATTGTGAACAACTTCGATAAAAACATATAGAGAAACACCTTCGCATGTCGAGATGTACATGAAGTGTGTGTGCTGGCGTGTGTGCCCATCGGCCTTTTCACAGGCACACGCAAAGCTTGAAGGTAAACAAACAATGGCTTATTAGAAACATCTTATCGATGATTATTTACACAGTTGGCATTAAGATGAACATAGAAACGTTATCTGACTAACATCTAGCAGCTAAATGTGTCTGGAGAAAATATTCAAAGGCTTTTATTCTCATAAACCACGCGGACGTAAATGCCTCTGAGTGTTCTGATTGGCTAAAGCAGACGTCTCACGTCAGCACGTTCTAGACGTGCACGCGCTCTTTCCGGCAATCTTCCTTCTGCATTCACACAGTGGAGCATTCCGGCAAATTACCGGTAATGTTACTACTTCTCTTTCCGGAAAATAGCCAGAACGAATTTACCGGTATTTTCAAAAAGGGCCTGTTCACACATACACACCTTTCCGGAAAATTGCCGGTTATTTTCCGGAAACGTCTGTATGTGTGAAAGAGGCTTCTGTGGATGGATGGATGGATGGAAGGATGGCTTATAAAGAGACAGATCGAAATTGATGAATGGGTGTTAAAACAGTAAAGGATGGATGGATTGAACAATGTGGATGGACGGATGATGAATGGATAGACAATAAATAGAGATGGAAATTGATAGATTGATTGATGATTAAAACAGGAAAGGATGGATGGAGAAATGGATAGATTAAACTATGTGAATGGATGGATTGGTGGTGGATGGATGGGTAGATGGACTAAAAAGAGACAGAAAAATTGATGAATGGATGATTAAAAATGAAAGGATGGATGGATGGATTAAACAATGTGGATGGATAGATGAACGAGTTAATGGATAATGGATTGAATCATTGAATAGATGGATGGATGTATCAATGATAAAGACGGATGGATAGATAGAAATTATATATGGGTAGATGAATAAAAAGAGACTTGGATGGATGGATGTGACAAAAAACGTCAAGGACAGGTGGATGGATGAAAAAGACAGGAATGGATGGACTGAACTATAAATACGGAAATTAATGGATAGATGGATGAAATAAACAATGCATGGATGGTGGATGAATAGATGGGATGAATAGATGGATGGATGGCTGGTTGATAAATAAAGGAATGTATTGATGTAGAAATGTAAAGATAAACAGATGTATGGATAATAAAGACAGATGGATGGATGGAAAAATATGTGGATGGATGGGAAAATATGTGGATGAATGGATAAAAAGAGACATGATGGATGGAAAAATGGATGGATGGATTGAACAATGATGAAGACAAAGCTGAATGGATGGAAGAATATATAAATGGACAAATAAAAAGAGACATGGATGGATGGATGTGACAAAAACAGACAAGGACAGGTGGATGGGTGATAAAGACAGGAATGGATGGATTAAACAATAAATACAGACATTAATGGATGGATGGAATAAACAATGTGGATGGATGAATAGATGGCGGATAGATGGATGGATTGAGGATAAATAAAGGAATGTATGGATGTAGAAATGTATAGATGGATGATTGACGGATGAATAAATTGATTAAACAATGTGGATGACTGATTAAAATCAGGAATGGATGGATGGAAATATGGAGGGATGGATGTGACAAAAAAAGACAAGGATTGATGGATAGATTGATGATAAAGACAGAGATGGATGAATAAAAATATATGGATGGATGGAAAAATAAATGGATAGATGGATAAGAGACGTGGGTGGATGTTAAAACGCATGGATGGATGATAAAGACATTTGGATGGATGGAAAATCAAATGGATGGATGAATAAAATGAGACATGGATGGATGTGACAAACAGAAAAGAACGGGTAGATGAATGATAAAGACAGGAATGGATGGATTGAACAATAAATACAGACATCGATGAACAGATAGATGGAGGAATAAAAAGAAACACTAATTCATCTCTTGCTTCATTATGCAACAGGATATCCTTCTAATATTTCTGCAGCCCAGCTTCATCTGAGAGCAGCACTGATGACGTCAAACGCTGCTTTAATGAATATGCATTACTGGATAGAACTTGAGCAGCAGAGTGACATAAACATGACATGAACATATAAACAATGATGTCATTAACCAAATGACTTTAGACTGGCCATCTGCAACCAGTCTAATCCAGTATGTGTGTTTTATATCTGCGCCAAACACTTCAGAGTGTCTGATAATGAGAGGAGTTGTTTTTAGTTGGCATTTTTAAACTCTGCTCTTCTTCAGTTTTGATTTACTATTTACTCAGAAGCAAAAAATGCTTGACTTAAGTTATGTTTCACCTAATATTGTGAGCATGCGTTAAAGCTGTGATTTTCATAAGATGTTAGAGGGAACAGCACACAGCGTGTCTACTAGAAATCCGAGAGTGACACTGCATTTAATACACCTTGTCACTTTCTCCACATCACGGAAAGGTATTTGTGAATTTCACTGCTTCACAGTTTGGCATTGGCATACTAATGAACACAGAAAATCAAACTGAGAATGCAGGAAATATGAGAATATGGGCTTTAATTAAGAAACAGCTTCCACTGACATATAAATATGCATTTCATTCATTCATTTTTCTTTGGCTTAGTCTCTATTTCAGAGGTTGTCACATCGAAATGAACCACCAACTATTTCAGCATTTGTTTTACACAGTGGATGCCCTTCTAGCTGCAACCCAATATTGGGAAACACCCATACACACATTCCCCACACACATCAACGATCAACTTAGCTTACCTAATTCACCTATAGTGCATGTGTTTGGACTGTGGGGGCTACCTGGTTGATCCTGCCAGTAATATATGCTTGTCTCAAAGATTAAGCCATGCAAATCTTAGTGCACACGTCCGATACAGTGAAACTGCGAATGGCTCATTAAATCAGTTATGGTTTCTTTGATCTCGCCACCCGGTTACTTGGATAACTGTGACATTTCCAGTGCTAATACATGCCAACAAGTGCCGACCTGGTCTGCCCTTCTCCCCCCAGGGCGGGGGGCGTCTCTCCGTGGACGCGTGCATTTATCAGATGCAAAACCCATGCGGGTTCGCGGGCGATGAAAAGGGGAGCTCGCGCCTCCTCGCTGCCATCCGCCCCCGGCCTCGCATAGATGACTCTAGATAACCTCGTGTCGATTGGGCACCCCCGCAGCGGCGACGATTCCTTCGAATGTCTGCCCTATCAACTTTCGATGGTAGGTCTGTCGCCTACCATGGTGACCACAGGTGAAGAGGAGCTTGAGAAACGGCTACCACATGCAAGGAAGGCAGCAGGTGCGCAAATGACCCATTTCTGACACAGAGAGGTAGTGTCAAAAAAAACAACAATGCAGGTCTCTTTCAAGGCCCTCCAATTGGAATGAGTGCATCCCAAACCCATGGGCGAGGACCCATTGGAGGGCAAGTCTGGTGCCAGCCATGGTTATTCCAGCTCTAATAGCATATGCTAACGTTGCTGCAGTTAAAAAGCTCGAAGTTGGATCTCGGGGACCAGGCTGTGCGGTCTGCCATGAGGGGAGCCACCGCCCGTCCTTAACCCCCAGGTCTCCCAGTGCCCCCCCGAATACCCTTGACTGGGTGTCCTTGGCTTGGGGCCCGGAGCGTTTACTTTGAAAAGAGTGTTCAAGGCAGGGCTGGCCCTGCACCCTACTGAATAATACAGCTAGGAATAACGGAATAGGACCCTGGTTCTACTTTGTGGATTTCAGGAACCTGGGGCCATGATCGAGAGGGATGGCCGGGGG